AAATTCAGCTGCACTTTAAAGGTCTCAGGTGAAGACCAAGTACTTCCAGATCCTGCTCCTTGATGAGAGCCTATTTACAACTTGCTTATGGTTGCAAGCATATTTTGCCATCCTAGCCTTGTATGCAAGGATCTTGAACCCTGATCCAAGATTTTGACAATAAGTGGGTCTTCCTAGGGAATAATCAAGGACTCACCTGCTGAAAATGATGAACGATCATGGATAGTGATTCTAACAATTATGTTATCAATACAGTGAATGTTTTTACAACTTGGATTTAGCATCATACAAGAGAAAAATTCAACTGTTAGAATATGTCACTAAATATTGCTCGAGGAGGTAAACTATCGGGAAAATCCAGATGAAGAATGTGTTATGCATGTATTTTTTCCAAGGGAAGAACCTGGGTAAAGCAACCTACCAAATCTTCTTTATGAATAAACCTCATTCCACTGTGCAGATAGATGGGAGACACTGATACATGAATTTAAAATGCCTTATACTGCAGATGGCCCACTTTTAATATAGCATACATATTTATACTCTAGGAGGATGAAATAGTTTTTCTTGGTACTGTGGCACCACCTGTAGATCTGAACACAACATTGCTGTTCTTATCTATATAATTTTTCATTTGTCAGTATACTAATAAGCCAGCACATTGACAATACATAACACAATACAAGTCATTGTTTTTGCGTGATCAATTTTACTCAAAGCTTTTAAAGCACTGATATTTATATTGTTTTAGTTGCTGTAATTAAATGGTGATTAGGTTAAGCCTTCCATTTTCTAATTTCTTAAGCTCCTGTACATTGCCTGGGAGTAGCAGAGTTTGTTAGCTGGTCAGTCGGATTATGGATTAAGTTAGAAAAGTGATTGTTTTATATGGTAAGCCATTGCTTTTCAATGCTTTTTATTGAATGAAGTGAAGCATCTCCTTTTGAATTAGTAAAGAAAATAAATAAATAAATAAATAAATAAATAGGGAGCTATATTGGTCTACATTCATATTGAAAGCTGTTATTTACTATATTAATATTTTTAATACTGTAGAAGCATAAGCCTATGGCCTTATATACAGTATGTACAGTGTGCATATTTTGACCTATATAAGCATAACTCATATTTATTTTTCCATATTTACTGTATGCCTTCACATGTTTCCAATTCATCTTTGATATCCTGATTTCACTTCACTGCTCCATTAATGGTGTTTAACGCAGCTGCATAGCCTTCTATCTTCTCACTGATTCTTAATATCCAGATGCTGGTCTTTCTGTGCACTGGTGGTATAATCGGTAGCAATTCTGTATGTAAGATCTTAAATTTGTGTTTATCAGAACTGTCAGGGCAACTCAAGTACAAATGTGAATTTGCCGTCACATATGCACAACTGATACAGTAACTCACCTTGTTAAAAAAACAGATTTGTAATGATCAGGTTCGGTGCTTATAATCCCCCTGCTTCCGGTTTGCCATGAAATATGAAGATTGTTTGGAGATGTTGGAATATAAGGAGTCATTCTGCTGATGACCATCTTTGTATAGGTATTGCTTACAGTTTGGCTATACTGTCCAGGTGATTGCAGGTGAAATCTGTATTGGCTTTAAAAATTCAGAGAAAGATTACCCCTGTGGAGGAACTGCATATAACTGTTTTCCATTGAGCCTGGCTTTGCTGACATGCCCTAGGTATGCCCTAGTTTAGTATAGATGGAATTCTAGATGGCAATGTATGCCTCATGTGTGTGATAATTTGAGTCATTGGGTACCTGTGTATCAAGTTGTGTCTAACATGATGTGTCTCCTGTCCACATACCAGCCCTAAGATGGGAAAAACAGTTCCCTTGTGTGCTGTCCATGGAGACAGATATTGCTTTACATATTATTGGCCTTCAGGATACTGCTTACTGCACATCAGAACTAGAAAAATATGCTTCCCCAGGACTCCTGAGCTGGTCATAAGAGTGTCATATATGTGCTTATTTCGTTTAGATATTATATTCTTAATTGCAAAAAAATAAAAGAAAGCTATGTATATTTCTTGTTCTTGTTCTATCATTTGTTTTCTTTGGGCTCTTCCTCCTTTGTTATTGCCTACAGGTCAACAGAACTATCTAGTAAACACAGCTGTCTAAAGCATGATGCTTCCAAATCTGAGGTCCCAGGTTTCCTTCTGTCTTTTGGATGAATGGACTGTTATCTCCTCATTTATTGGGAAAAAACTATATTGAAAAAATGGAAGGCTATCCTTGTTGACCCTCCGGTTGCATTGCTGCCTTTGGCTTCAGGACTCATTGATCGGGCAAAGGCATGCAGCAAGGGAAGACAGAAGCCTTGATCTAAGTACTTGATTTGGGTCAGTGAGCAACCAAATGAGAGGATCAGCATGACAGCAAAGCACCTAGCATATTTAGCAAAAGAGATCCACCATGGTAGCTTATATGTTTCTGTCCATACAGGTTTCCTTTAAATATAAATGTTTCTTTCACAGTGGAGTTGATGTGCAGCATTACATGTCTTACAGAGTTCATTAGAATCCCAGTCCTTGGCTAGTTTGAAGTGTATCCTTATGCTCCCTGAGATGAACATCAGGGGTGTCAGAGCTTAGATGAGGTCTCCGTTTGTGTGGAAATGTGGTTAAAATGAATGATGGTATAATTTTATCTAAATTAACCTTTCTACCTGTTTTATGGATACTGAAATCTCCATGTGACACTTGTTGCATGGAAACCTTTCTCTCAATGTGCAGTGTGACGGACCGCCTGGTACCCCGACTGGGTACCTCCGTCAGAAAACAGCTTCCTCTCCGCTGGAACCCGAATCCCAGTGTCCTCAGCCCAAACCTGCCTAATTATTGGACAGAACCAATATATTAGGACAGAACGCTAACCACTCAATCATTAGACAACACCAATGTTGAGGTGGAAAACAAGATCTGCTTTATTGAAGGAAGCACACAGAATTTATACCTGACAGGATCAGATTAGAGTGCAGTGTGTCCCCTCCCCCAGACAGCTAGGTGCCGCATTGGAAGTCTTTCATGCACAGAAACTCTTTGGGATGAATGTCCTTCATTAGATAAGAACTTGATCCCATCATTGCAAACAATGGTCACTCCAGCCAGCCTGCTACCTATAATGAACACAGTGATGTGTGTCTGTAATGTCGGGGGAGACATACAGTATATCCACTCCACACGTATCCTGGTAGAATGGTTCCATGTAACCCCAAGAGGTCTGAGGGGGGTCTCCATAGTTCTGGTCCATAGTCCGTAGGAAACTAGCCCTCAGGCTCCTCCAGCAGCCCCAGTGACGGTTCAGTCCGTCACATGCAGATCAACCTTGTATCATAAAAACCCAGGACTCACGGCCACAATTTTTTTGATCCTCCTTCATTGCTGCAATGCAGGACCTAAAATCAGCCACCAAGCTTACGCATTTATGTCCTGCATTATGTATCAATAAAGGAAGATTGAAAGGATCATTGCCATGAGTGCTGTTTTTTGACAGATGACTTTATTTAGTTTGAAGCACCCAGACTAGCATACATATGTATGTGTAAAATATGTCAAGGTCATGATTTGGTAGCCTGAAGGAGCCCTCTTGTAATTTTTCAGTAGCTGGAAGCAAAGAACTTCCCATGTTACAGCTGTCCCTTTTGCGATAATCTGAATTCTAGACTTTGTTTCAAAATGTTCTATGGGCTAGTGCCACATTTTTTTAAATCATTGTCATAGATTTTTGTCAGAGCATTTCCAAATTTCCAAAATTTACTCTAGATGAGTGCACAGCCAAACAGCTAAAGTGGAAGATTATTCACTTTTGGCTGACATGCGGCTCCCCATTGTGAGCTAAGAGCTCAGCCAAGGGCTCCTGCCTCTTCCTCTTGTAAAGCCTGGCTTTGCTGATATGCCCTATCTATGCCCTCGTTCACTATAGATGGAACTATAGATGGCAATGTAGGCCTCAAGTGTGTGATAATTTGAGTCACTGGGCACCTGTGCATCAAGTTGTGGCTAGCATGTCCACATAACAGCCCTAAGATGGGAAAACCAGTTCTTGTGTGCTATCCATGGAGATAGATATTGCTTTACATATTTTTGACCTTCAGGATACTGCTTATTGCACATCAGAACTAGAAAATTATACTTCCCCAGGACTCCTAAGCTGATTATACATGTTCCAAACTGATTGTACAAACTCCTTTTAGATTTAAAAACAAAATCTATATAATGAGAGGGTTTGTCTAAACAAGCCTTTCAATTCTAACCAATCAGGCAGGCCCTGGCATTACAGAGCTGCTGGTAGACTTGAGAGAAATTGCCCAATCAGATTGTAATGTATATAGTCAGCTTAAAAAAGACACATTCTTAGATATTAGAGTGTCATCTATTCTGAGCCAGATCTGCAATGATCAGACACCTGAGCTGATTCTGAAAGTATTGTTTAGCTGAGTTTGGCTCTGCTGACTACTCGCTGTTGTTCTCAGATGAGGTTGTCAATGGAGATGTTTGCTTAGCCTATGCACATGTTTGTATAGAAAAAAAACAAAAAGTTAGTGACACAGGCGCCAGCGCCCGTAACTGTGTGGGACAACCAAGTAAGACACTCTCGATGCAGCTCCCGCTGATTTAGGGTAACCACAAAGCCGAAAAGAAGCACAAGGAGAGCGCCTCCATCGTGTAAAACGCTTTAATAAGGCGATGTATGAAAGGCTAAAAACATACTCACAAACAGATGGGATAAGTAGGCATAAAATGTGAGTCAGCAAATGAAACACTAAGATCGTGATCATCCGGCACAGCCGACAAGCTGTATGTCCTCCCTGGTTGACGTGTTTCAGAGAACACGCCCCCTTCCTCAGAACCCTGAAGGTGTGTCCTCTGAAACGCATGCTTGTATAGACCCTATTAGATTTTTGAGTGTTGTATGACTTCTGTCTTAGGTTCATGACCAGGCATACACTTGAATATATCTGTTATTCTTGTGTTATAGGTATCTTCTGTACCTACAACTAAAGAGGGATATTTTCCATGGACGTCTTCTATGCTCCTTTGCTGATGCTGCTTTCTTGGGTGCTTGTATAGTTCAAGGTTAGTACAATCTCTTGTGTAATGTTACAGTGTTCCATAATAATGTCTTCTATTTCTTTTCTTAAAATTATCACAAGTGGGTTCTGGCTCACAGTTTAGTACATTATGTGACATTCACCAGTATGTATGTAAAAGTTAAACCATTTGAGTAATCTACTTTTAATAATCTGCCTGCAAAGTTTTGTACTTAATTATTTGCAGTATGCATAGAAACAGCAGTTGACTGTATTTGTTATGGCACTGATGCAAGGTAAGCCAGGGGTGAATGAAAAAATATCTTCCTTAACAATGCTAGTTATGATTTTTCTTTTTATTATACGCTCTTGGCACTTTTATATCTCCTTATGGCTGTATACAACTTAAATAATTTACACTGGAGATAGTAGTGATGAGGGAAATAATGCATTGGGTTTTATGATCTGACCTGGGGTAGTATAATTTGCAGCCTAGAAATGTCTGATGTAAATTCCAGCCAGTGCGATGGGATACCTATTGTTTCAGAGTTTATTTTTTTTTCTTTCTTTCTCCTTTAAATATGTATGTCTTTAATTAAAAAAACAATCTTAAACAAATTGTACTCCCTAATTTACAAATTAAGTATTACAAAAAGTATATCTTCACTGTGGCTTCCAGCTGCAGAATGATTTTATCCCACAGGGTGGTAGAAAGGGATTCTCAGAGATCTCACACTTCAGTTTCTGTGGTTTGAGCCATGATTTCACTGGTTAAAAATTGGTTAGAATTGTTTCACAGGAAACACTGTAACAAGGACTGACGCACAAACCATTTTTGGTTCCTTTCTCAAGCATGCCTCCCCGTGTTGCAGACAAGCTAAATTTAATGTAGCAGGACACCCTATTCGCAACGCTCTGACTACAGGGATAACTGCCACTATGCCTAGTATGCTAAACAGTTTGTTATTGTGTATTTAAGCGGTAGGGGAATGCAGGCAGTAAACTGTTTACCCTGTGGTCCTGGTCTAGTAGTATGTCCAGATCCAAGCATTTCCTATCCCAGGTCCTCTGCTGCCCGTAGTAAATAATATCCTCCATTCCTGTAAATGTCGTAAGACAATATTACAATCTTTCATTAAGCTTTGTAATAACTGAATATTACCTTTGCAGCTGAGATCGGTGATTATGATCCTGACGAACATCCCGATAATTACATCTGTGACTTCAAGATATTCCCTAAGCAGTCACAAAAGCTGGAAAGAAAAATTGTGGAAATTCATAAAAGCGAACTCAGGTATGATATAAATTGAGTGTAAACAATTATTTGAGCCTATGTTTAGCCATTTTAATGTATTATACTGTTTGCATATTGAATACTCATATGTGCTTTTTTTAAACATACTTCAGATCATGACTGAAATTGTATTGCTCTAGTTTATTGGCAATTCATACATTTGAATTATTTTTAAAGTATCTACCCACTCAGGAATTTAACATATGGAGAGTTGTGCTGCAGGATCGGGATTCCCTTCACAGAGTTCTTGGACCTGGCCTTTCCACCATTACGTTTTAGCCTTCCAGCAGCAGGATTTTTACTTTTGCTGCTGTACTCTCATCTTAATGTAAAGATCCTTATTGCGACAGCAACAAGTTGGGAATGTAGGAAGTCTGGATTAGTCATATAATAATAATAATTAAGATCCTGGTGTGCATATAAATAAAATAAATAGACTATAAACACATCAGCTGTAAAAAATCAATTTATAATCCAGTAATATTAATGTGCAGGTCTCCTCAAAACTCGTGCTCAAACAGAAAGTGTGGCTGGAACCACCCCAAAGACGGAAGCTCAATGTAAAAATTAATGTTTCATGTTTTGGAAATGGTCTCAGACTCTGGCTGGAATAATCCAGTACTGCACAGCCAGTTTAGAATGGGGCTCTCCAAAGCTATAAAAGATGCTCAGGTTAATCACTGCACACCTGTGTCTGTATTGGCCAGTGTCCTTGTGAGCGCCATGCTGAAAGACTGGCCATTTCTTCTTCTTTTGCCGTTCTCCTCACTCTTGCCCGAGGCTCCACTATTCCACCAAATAAGCCTATGCAGATTCGGGTCACTTGCCTTTCCACTCAAGAGAAACCTCGGTCTCTGTCTCTATTGTGGTGCCAAGGGCCAGTTCACTAGCAATTGCCCAAGTAAACCGGGAAACACCAGAACCTAGAGGAATAGGGGCCATAACCTTCTAACTGAGGAGCACAACAAATTATTTGTCCAGATCTACATTACTTATAAGACTCTTAAGCCTTTGTGGATTGTGGCTCAGCTGATCTTATTCTTTGTCACCGACTCTCAGGCATACCCTCTGATCTGTGGCTAGCCATAGTAATGACTACAAAACCCTTGTATCAGTTGGGTCACTCAGAAGATTGCGGCTTGGGGCAACTCTTGCACTGAGCACTGCCTACATCAGCCTTATGACTATCAGAAACTATTGAAATGTTTTGACTAAACTTCCATTTAAACTATGATGTCAATAATGTTTGCTTGACCATAACCACAACAGTTCCAGTGCATAGTATACCCACAATGTTATCCCTATAAATTTTTATAAAATTATATTGAATTAAAAACAAAGCTTTTCAAGGTTATGTAGGTAAGACCTCTTCCATCCCCTCATAAGCTACATATTTCTGGCCAGTATAGCGAGGTGGTGAGCGAGCAAGCTTGGAATGGGGGCTACACACACAGGGATCATGGGGAAGAAAAGTAGCCACCCTCCAGAAGGAAGGACAGTGTCAGCACACATTCAGAAATGATTTGAGGATCTACAGCTGAGTGATACACAAATAAGCTAAACACATTTTAATAGTAAGATTTAACTCCAGAGTTTAGTGTCCCTTTGAGTAAAGAACCCTTTATGAATAAAGTAACTGTGCTTGGGTTAGTGGTCAGAAGTATGTCTCCAAATGCCAGTTCCTTTGTTGCACTTCAATCAATACTGTATACACTTTTCTCATCAATATGTAAAGTGAAAAAATATGCTTATTAACAGTGTTTAATAAAAAGGCGCTTAAGAGTCAGCAGTGTTTCAAAATCAGCTTGCTCTTGTTAAAAATGTATAACATGTCCTGTATGAAACAAGACATAACATAAGAACTAACATACATGTCAGCACATTTTATAAATGTTATTGCAGTTTCCTTTGGAGTGGGAAAGTGGAGCAAATGTGCTTTCTTAGGTCATGTTTTGCTTACCATGTAAAACATTAATGACCTCTTATTCCTCCTCTTATGCTATTTCAGAGGTCAGAACTCAGCTGTTGCAGAATTTAATTTGCTGTTGAAAGCACATTCCCTGGAAACGTATGGCGTTGACCCTCATCCATGCAAGGTACCACAGCTGTTTCGAGTTCACTGTGCTTTCTGATCAGCAATTTCACACTTGAACTGTGTGACCGATGGAGTAATAGATTTTGAATAGATAACATGCTAGGTACATGTGCGCATGTAGTGTCACAGCTAGCTCTGTGTAGCTAATAGGATGTGTCCTATGCCATTTACTACAATCTGTCCTACGACGATGTTAAGTGGTTTGTTGATTACACAATTAATGTATCAGCATTTTATGTAAAGTTTTGTGTGCAATGTATGCATTCAGTTTTTGGATTACTTTAGTTATTTTAGGTATGTTAGTAGGAACTGTGTGTACTGCCTTATAGCCACTAACCAGGTCTAAAAATGCTCTTTCTCTCTCATGTTTAAATGTGATCTGTGGCCATTGGGCAGTACAAACAGTCCTTGGTGGTGACAATTATGAATGACAATCATTGTTCCTTCAAGATATTTTTATGTACGAATGCAGCTTTCATAGATAAAAACTAGCACATGTATTTTATGTCACAAAGATCAAGGTTTAAATAGTTTACAATTTTAAATAAATGAGTTTTCGTCCACATCATTATAAGAACTATATTGTGGTACAGGCACACTATTCATTAGAGTATTTTACACTTCATTAAACTAACATTTTTCACACCAATTGAAACCAACCCCTGTACTTTAATACAAAACACTACATTTTATTGAGACTTAAAGCGTATGTAGAAGTTCTCTTGTTCATGACTTTTCTCCATAAATGTCAATGGGAATGCAAAAGCAGAAAAATACAGCTTATTTAGAAGTTCACAAGCACCTGTAGAGGAACTCAGATTTAACATAAAGACTTCCTAAATTGATTCCATGTGCAAGCTGAATGCACCAGAAAGTGTGCTGCATTTGCCCATTGAGACAAGCCCTAAATTAATTTTCTTATTGTTTTGATGTATACTAGGTTAGCTGACTATGAAACTGATTCTTATTAAACCTTGTATCACCTTTGTTGTTTTAAGGACTCAACAGGGACCACAACATTTCTAGGATTTACTGCTGCGGGGTTTGTTGTTTTCCAGGGAAATAAGAGGATACACTTAATAAGATGGTAACTACATTTTATGTTGCTGTTTATTAACTCTAATGACATACATTTTGTGAAAAGTAAGCCAGAAGAGAGAATTGTTAAGAGATTATCTTATTGAGAAGTGCTTACTTCTTTACACTGTGGTTTTAAAATTTGCTATATGGATAATGTAGTATAAGAAAATCATATGAGACATATAAGACCAGAGAATACTCCCTTCTCCTCTTGCAATTAGGGTCCACTCACCAGCTGAACACTGACTGTTACATGAACAAATGGGTGGTGTACATGATAAGGTATGGCGATTGTGGTAGTGTCCATGCCTTGCAGTTGAATTTTATGTTCCCTCTGTGTTTTAATGGGTTTCTTCCCACATTCCTTAATGGTATTGTCAATTAAACCGGTTTCTGAACATAACTGGCCTTAGAGTTTATGTGGTAGGAATGAGGTGAATGGTTTCACATACTGTATAATGAGCTGCTTAATATGTCAGTAATATATACATATAGAAAATATATAAATATACCCATCAAGCTTTTCAGCATGTAAGAGACACATTAACATGAAAGATTCTAATAGTGTCAGTCTGGCAAAATTAGAATGAGTGGTATGGTTTTATGATGCTTGTTGAGTCTTAGTAATTTTATAACATTGTACATTGAACTTTAGAGGGTGACAAATAGTTAAAGTGTAGTAGTAGCCAAACAGCCTAAAGCAGAAAAAAAGTCTTTAAAAAATCGAAATTTAATTTTCTGCAACACTCACCTTCAATGTGCAGTTGTACCCCACAATTCTTTTTTTCCACTAGACTAGATGTCCTTAGAATTCCATGTTGAATAATGGCCAGCATTATTCAGCCTGCTTCCTTTGAGCCTAGGCTGTCATAGACCAACCCTCTGGGGTGGCAGTATCAAACAGTCTGAACTCAGAGTATTTCTGCATTGCACGGTGCTCTCGCATTGTTACAAGAGCACCGTGAAGTGCACCAATAAGGACCACCCCTGGAAGGACCACGTCATCGGACCAGCCAGACAAATTGGGGAAAAAACCTGATTTGCAATGGGGTTGAATATTTGTCATTACAACTTTATATATAACGTATATATATTGTGCGTTTATTTATATATTGTATATAGATATGTAAAGTATATCCACTATATTGCCTAAAGTATTGGGACGCCGGCCTTAACACGCACTTAACCTTTATGGCATCCCCGTCTTAGTTTGTAAGGTTCAATATTGAGTTGGCCCACCCTTTGCAGCAATAACAGCTTCAATTCTTCTGGGAAGGCGTCCACAAGGTTCAGGAGTGTCTATGGGAATGTTTGACCATTTTTCCAGAAGCGCATTTGTGAGGTCAGGTACTGATGTTGGATGAGAAGGCTTGGTTTGCAGTCTCCGCTCTAATTCATCCCAAAGGTGTTCTATCGGGCTGAGGTCAGGACTCAGGACTGCAGGTCAGTCATGTTCCTCCACCCCAAACTCGCTCATCCATGTCTTTATGGACCTTGCTTTGTGCACTGGTGCACAGTCATGTTAGAACAGGAGGGGGCCATCCCGAAACTGTTCCCCCAAAGTTGGGAGGATGAAATTGTCCAAAATGTCTTGGTATGCTTATACCTTAAAAGTTCCCTTCACTGGAACTAAGGGGCCAAGCCCAACCTCTGAAAAACAACCCCACACCATAATCCCCCCTCCACGAAACTTTACACTTGGCACAATGCAGTCAGGCAAGTACCGTTCTCCTGGCAACCGCCAAACCCAGACACGTCCATTAAATTGCCAGACAGAGAAGCGTGATTCATCACTCCAGAGAACACGTCTCCACTTCTCTAGAGTCCAGTTGCGCCGTGCTTTACACCACTGCATCCGACGCTTGGTGATGTAAGGCTTGGATGCAGCTGCTCGGCCATGGAAACCCATTCCATGAAGCTCTCTATGCACTGTTGTTGTGCCAATCTGAAGGACACACAAGGTTTGGAGGTCTTCATACATACATACATACATACATACATACATACATACATACATACATATCTTTCTTGGTTTCTTGCAGATAGACTTAAGGGTAATTTTCATAAATTATTTTTCTCTGTTCCTTACAATGATATCTTTCCTTTTCCAGGCCGGATGTCTTCAAAATGAGATTTGATGGGAAGACATTTTATGTTGTTGTAATGCAGAAGGAGGTAGGAACTATCTAGCTCATCATACACACTGATAGTTTATTTCCTTAAATGTACTGATGTATACTAAGAAATCAATTTTTGTCTGAACTTGTCTTTAATCCACATTTGCCAACTTAAAATAAGTAAAGTTGCAGCTTTACAGCACCGTAACTGTACAAATACACAGCTACTACATTAATTAGTGTTTAATGGGTTGCCTATCACGTAAACATGTGTAGCAGTACAGAGTGTCTTGATGTGAATTGGCTCTTAGTGAGCTTTAAAAGTAAGCATTTATTGGGACTTTCCCTATATGTTAAATTGGAATGATCTCTAACTCCAATCGCTTTTAGCACCCTGCCTTTATAGTTGTTCATTAACATAAGGTATACCTGCTTCCAGGTACCAGTGAATGTTATACTCCAGTGCCCAAAAATTAGTGACTGACATTTGGTGAAAACAAACATGAATATCACTATCCACAGCAATACCTCACCAACAATGGCATACTTGCACACACGGGTATCATCACTCAACATTATGTTCTCTGAACCTTAAAGTGACATTAAACCCTCAGATTTGTTAACATAAAACAATACTGTAATGTGTGCCTTACTGTAATCCATGGTTGTTTCCCTTCTCTTTGCTGCTCTTCCTTTTAAATCTGTTCTCATGCTGGGCAGAACTTCTGTTTTGCAGCAGACTGCCTTGTCTCTGAAAAGGATACATGGTGTCTGTGTGTAGGCTTGCAACCTGAGCCAGCACTACAGGAAGAGGCACTCATCTGCAAAGGGAAGTTCTCCCCAAGCATGAAAAGACATGAGGATTTAAAAGGAAGAGCAGCAAAGAGAAGGGAAACAACCATGGATTACAGTAAGGCACACATTACAGTATTGGTTTATGTTAAAAAATCTGAGGGTTTAATGTCACTTTAGGCCTTAAACTACCCACTTAAATTAACCCTTAAAGGAAAACTTCACCATAAAAAAACTCCCTGTGCAGCAACTTGACTTAGACTTGAATGGGGTTGTACTTTTAGGTCAAGGGTGAAAATATTAGAGGTGGCTGCTGCTGTCAGGAAGTGGTAAGTAGGGGTTCTGGCTGTTAACATTAGGGGCTATTGGACGTGTGCTGCTTTTAAATGTGAAGTTGCAGTACAATATATCTCCTAAAATTAACTCTAAACCTGCCTCTAAGCATGAAAAGTAACCCCTAACCTAACTTTGAATGTAAAGTATTAACACTTAACCTACATTAACTCTCCACCCCCCTAATTGAATAGTTGAAATGAAGTTCTAACACCTAACCTAACTCTGAAAATTAGGTTTTGACACTTACCGAATCCTGGCTTCTAGCTATATTTCTTCCGTAACATTAAGCTAGCCCAACTCGTACAATTCAAATAAAACTTTCCTAAGAAAACCCCTGAGCCTAGGCCTACCTGCCCCTAAATTCAACATTCAGATATTTACATATTCCTAACAAGCAGTAAACATGTCTTCACTAACATTTGTAGCTGCAGGCACTGTGGAACAAATCATCCTCTGAAAAAGAGACACAGTATAGTCATCCAAGTTACTCTGGCGGCAGCTCAGCTTACTCTGCTCCCCCTTTCCCCAGTGGCTTTGCAGTCTTCTAAATCTCTTATATAAACACAGTGCAGGAGCTGTGGGAGGAGAGGACAGTTGGAGCTGAGCTGCTAAGAGAATGTGTTAAATAACTTAAGTGCTTCAAATGTAAACGTTTAGGATTGATTGCTCTATACAGTCTGCAGCTACAGAGGTCAGTGATGGTTTGTTTAATTTATTGCTCATTAAGACTGTGTAAATACTTGACTGTCCATAGCCTGAGCACCAGTTCACTTGAGAATTGTTATCACCTAAATGATTGGGCCATTATTATCTAAGGAATTGGTCCGATACTTACATTATTGGGACAATACTTATGATACCTAAATTATTGGAATTATTGGAACAATACTTACCCTGCACCAGTGCAAGTTAGTATTTGCCTTTGCTATCAGTAATACCAATTCATGTTGTCACCAAAAAAATTGTGCCCTCAGTCCTGGCTCTATTCACACGTGGAGCCGCTCTAAACATAAAAATCAATGCATTTTGATGTGCATTGTTCAGACTATTGCGGGGACCAAGCGCGATTTCAGGGGCGGATTCCGCACATTTGCGGCTATAGTAATAGCTGCATATGAGCGCAATAGTTCCCGCATGGAAAACCGCGCGGGAAGTGCAAACACTATATGTGAATGGAGTGTAAGAATTCTGTATTCTCTTCTTAAATACATGATCATGATTCAGAAATAGGGATACAATAGTGACCAAGCCACAAGACATAACAAATTTGATATAATTCTACCAGACTCAGGAGTTCTGTGGTACCAGTGGCGATGTCATTCGCCCTGGATGCCTGGTATGGCAGGTGACAATAGGCTCAGTTCACTTAGATGAAGTTGTGTTAACTCCAGTCCTTTAATTCATGATAGTTTGGTCCTAAAAATGTTTCATACATAAATATAAATATCACTAATGCTGACACTGGCTGGCTTCAATACTTTGTTAATCACTGACCCAAACAGACATATATATTAGGTGTTCTGAATTTACTTGGTGCATGCATGTTCTGGGTTAATGCAAAGGATAGCAAAGGTGGACCCTATATACAGTATATCTTATAACAAATAATGACCCCCATGCAGGAGGTTATAAGGTGAAAATATATGTTGATTATATGTTGCTCAGGAAAAAAAATTATACAAGTACATTATAAATAATTTGCAAAAGCTGATAATCAAGGATAGACAAGTGCCTATTAAGGCTGATTTATTGTGTGGTGGGATCAAAGGGCCAAGTGTTGGCTTTTGTGACGAATGTTGGCTTTCATTCTGTGGCCTGCACAAGAAAAGTTACAGCTGGAATCTGATTGGCTGCTACTGACATTTCCACTTGTCATTTTGATATTCTGTGTAAACCAGCAACCTTTTTTTTAATACCTAAAAAAGAAAATGAATAACGTTATCATTCATTAGGACATCACAGAGGGATTCATTACAACTGTACAGCGCCTTGCCGCATCAGCTCTGTTTGTTCAGTTCCTGTAATCATACACCTGTACAAACAGGGCTGCCTCTGTATTACCTCCTGATGACTAAATATTGCAGGAGACATGCCAGTGTATGAAGTACCCAGCACAAAGAGAACACTCTAATTTTACATCAAAATACTGTTGGTAATGTGTCAAATACATCAAAATTGTCTTTGGTCACAGAGGTGGAGGTAGTAATTTGCTGAATTAAACATTTCCTTTAAAATGTACTAGGGATGCACTGAAATTAAATGTTTAGACCGAAACCGATGTTTGAGCAGTACATGGAAGGATCAGCAAATATTTCAGATATTTGCTGATTCTCTCTGCTCTCCATCCTGAACCGTTCCACCCCTCCCGCAGCTATTCTCATCCCTTCTGGCACTGTCAGTCCTAACAGCTTCTTTCCTCCCTGCTGGGTGCTGATATCTGGAGAGGTTCTGTGTCCCCTCCGATCTTCGCTGCCACTGCCAACACACGCAGGGGAAAGCAGCGGGGATAGGAGGGAACAGAGCCTGAAGCGTGCAGCCGATGCCTAGTGGGTAGGAGAGAAGCTAGGGAGGCACCCTCTTCGTCAAATTTCGTTGCATCCCTAAGATGTACTTATTCAGTTTTATAAAAGAATCCGGTATTTTCTTAGTATGCACATTAGAATTTATACTTGTATGATAAACAGAATTGTTGATTAATGTTTAGAATCATGTAAACGCTTCAAGTCTTATACCATTAATGTAGATTGATGTGTCTTTCTTTCTATCATCTCCAGAAGAAAACTGTTTTAACCTACCATACCTCAACACCAGCCGCCTGCAAACATCTTTGGAAATGCGGTGTCGAAAATCAGGCCTTTTACAAGTAAGTACAGCATGCTTAGAAACTTATATACCTGAAACTATGGATCCAGAAACCTACTTATCAGAAAAAGAGAGGCATTGATCATTTTCCTTTGTAATATGGTATATTGCTGCTAATTTTAATATGTTTTATAGAATAATGCCAATCATTACTGAAGTAACAAAAACTACGGATAACTGGAGCAAGGGAGAAACAAGGCTGTTGCCCATAGAGATTGCTATGGTTTGCATCTTGCTTCCTGTGTGGTGGCAGTATCAGGATCCTTGGGGACAATGTTGAATTTAAAATAACTCTCAGCCTTTGCTACCATAACTTTTTGATAGAAATGTTAAGAATGATATTAGGATGTATATAGAAAGATTATTGCTAATTAGCTTATATGCTTTCCAGTGACAAAGTACTAAAGCTTCTTACGTTATGTTAAAGGAGAACTATGGGGAGACTGAAATACACTTATCCACATAGTTAGAGCCGATGTATGACACTGCAGCTGTCATACGTTGGCTCTATTGATCGAGAACTGAGCGATCGGTTCACAATCTTCTCCCTGCAGAGAGCGGTGACTGTAAGTCATCTCTCCCTGCAGCGATTCCTCCTCCCCTTTCCGTTCCTCCAGTGCTGACTGGAGGGACAGACAGGGGAGGGGGTGGGCACAGCTGGTTCTGGCTCTAGAGAGGCAGAGCCAGCTGTCAATCAGACAGTGGGGTGGATCCTGATAATATTGTCTAAATCTATCCCGGCTGCAATGTGGCTCTGCCATCTATATGCTGAGTTTTGGGTCACAGGAGGACATAAGCAAATGTCCATGTGACCCAAAAGAGAACTTTAGACAAAAATGTTTGGACATAGTTCTCTTTTAAAAGAAGAATGCCCCCCTAATACTTTGATTTGAGCAAGGTTAGGGGGTTATATGTATTAATACAACTCATATCCAGTAATCTTCATGTTTTTATCTTTGTCTTCAACCTTTAGGTATGCAAAATCCAGCCAAGTAAAGACAATGACAAGCAGCAATATATTTTTTAAAGGGAGTCGATATCGATACTCGTAAGTGTTTTGTGTTATAATGTAAATAAGCTGTGTAAAAATCTACACCAGGTCTCTCTGGCTCTTTCTTGTCATGCTTTTACTTATTGCCAACCTCCATCTGAATGTTTTTAATTATTTATTGTTCCATTAATGCCAATGAAGCCTGTTTATAGTATAATCTATCACACTTTGTTACTGTTCTAAATGATCAAACATCAATTATGTCACAATTTTACTGTCACAGCTTTACTGCCATATCCATTACCTTGATCAATACACTACAGAGAATGACAAGGCTTGGCAAGAGTGCAAATTACAATCTTGTCACTAGATGGCAGCAAAGCAACATAAAATAAAATAAATAGCATAGGCTTATAGTAATTTCTAAAGAGGAACTCTAGGTAAACACCTAAAAATACAGTTGAAATACAGTTGAACTGCTTTATCTGTCAAAGGCTTAGTAATTGTTTTCAGCCACTCCACTGAATCACACAACCAGTCAAGGGACATCACTATTTCCTGTTTCAGCTTTGCAGCTTTCTATATCATCTGCCATCTAACTGGACATTAAATCAGCAGTGTGATGAAGATGAAACAGGAAATAGTTATGCAGTGTGGTAGAAATTAAAGGATTTACACATTTTTGGAAGTTAAACTCGTTCACATATATGTATTTATTTCATCTATGTGTTCAGCTGTTTGTCTAGAGATTCAATTTAAACAACATGTTGAGCTACCCATATACGCCCCCTATTCTGAGTACAGTATTGTTTGTGTTAACTATGAATTATTACTGTTATTGCTTGCAGAGGTTTGCTTCCAGATGATGAATATCTCTGAAGTTATTAAAAGATCATTCCCTTTTCTCCATAGAAAAAGGTGTTCACTGGGATGCAGGCATCAATTTAGTGAGGTTAATATGTTGTGACATGTAGACATGATGACAGATAAAACTTTCATTCTCAGTCGCTATTGATTAGACATGTGCGATTCGTTTCGTTCCGAATCGAAATTCAGGCGAATTTTCGGAAATTCGGACATTCGGATGTATCCGAATTCCGAATTACAGACATAACGAATGCAAACGAATCCGAATTTCCATTTCCAAAATTCTGTAGCGGTAGTTCGAACGTTCGTTTCGTTTTCGTTTCTTATTCGTTTCGTTCGTTGGAGCAAAGTGACATTAGAGAAGGAGAAAAATATTTTTTCCCCCTCAAATGTCACGAACGAACGAAACGAATAAGAAACAAATAAGAAACGAATAAGAACAGAAAACGAAACGAACGTTCAACCTACCGCTACCGAATTTCGTCCGAATCCGAATTCCGAATCCGAATTGACTTTCACACCCGAATCCCGAAAAACGAAATAACACAAATCCGAATTTAAAACGATACGAAACTAAACGAATTTTTTGGCAGTGCACATGTCTACTATTGATCTCTTAGGGTTGATGTTCCTGAGGTTATCTAATTCAAGCAACACTAACAGAACAACTAAGAATTTGATTTTGAGCTTGAAAGAGAGACAACCAATAGTAGGAGCAACAAAATTGAGGACAAAAAGTCCCAGGGGAAATCCGACTAAGTGTAGTAATTATATTACAAAGCTATGGATAGCTACGTTTTCGGTGAATAAAGAAGTTGCGAGATTCCCTTTGGGGATATTGGGCAACCTGAGGTGCAAAAAAGGGTGTTCAGGAAATATTTCTGTCGCTCTTGATGCTAGTCGGGATGGAGTTCAAATGATCCAGAGTTTGGCAGCTAGAGGGACCTGACGTGCACTGGAGAGACGAGACAAGAATGCCCCAGAAAAACAGGTGCAAGACAGCAGAGGCGCCCGGATGGCAGAAATTAAGTAACCGTGTTTCTTCAATTTGGACTTTCAATCCATGAATCATACAATTAACTACACCGTCTGAACGCGTTTCGTTGCCCAGAGTAGGCCACTTCCTCAGGAGGGTGTGACAAGAAACTTTACGTGTCACACACGCCAGGAGACTCTACCATTCATCTTAAAGTGTCTTCATTATATTTCTTCCATCCAGGCGCCTCTGTTGTCTTGCACCTACATTTTTTGGGGGGCACTCTTGTCTCATATCCAAGGATTTAATCAGTATGCATCACTCCATATATTGCCACTTACATAGTTAAAGGGGATTTTCACTTTTGTAGGAAATCCAGCAGGTACTGTTCCTTGATACATTGGTTATCTACAATGATCAGCATCTGAGTGTAAGGTTGTTATTGTGTTTAGGCCAAATCCTACTTGGATAGTGGCTGTTGTCTGATTACATTTACTGCTCATACTAAGCCATACCAAGCAGGAGTTGTCATTTATTTGTAACCATTTGTAACCATAGAAGTCTAAGTAGCCATCACAATTGTAGGCTGTATGTCTTCCTTAAGTCATTACATAAATTATTATAACAATATTATAGATGTATATTAAAAAATATATTCTGTATATTATTTTCTTTCCTTTCAAATTAGTGGGAAAGTTGCAAAAGAAGTTGTTGAAGCCAGCTCAAAAATTCAGAGGGATCCTCCAGAAGTCCACAGGTAAAGCCAAACACAATTTATGGTATGTATCAATACCCTTGGGGAGCCTTTGCAGCTCCCTCATGACTACAGGATCTATTCTGGTATGGTGTAAGTTGGAACATGGTTATTTTCCTGTTTTTGGGTAACAACAAACCCTCTCTGTAATATTTTCAGTTTGTGATGAGGGCTTTTGTAACTGAATAAAATTGACATTGATGGCACAACTGTTTGCAAGGGATAGCAGGGTAATGTGCATTTGTTCATTGAAGGCTCAGGCAGATAACTGGCAATATAGCAATGCCAATCAATTAGAATGATTGCTTCAAAAAGCTTGTCAACGTTTGGTCCTGTATAGCTGTATTAAAGGATAAGTGGAGCTTTGCTGTTATTTTCCTTTGATCCATGATATATTATACTGGAAATATGGCCTTTGTCATGCATATACACATTTTGTACAAACTTACTAATGACAACCTGTTTTTCTCCCTCATTTGCCATTTAGGTCATTAATACCCCACAGTCGCAGCTCTTACTCCTTAAACAGGCAGCTTATCATCAACATGGAACCACTGCAGCCTCTCATCCCATCACCGAGTGAGGAGTATGAAGAGGAAGCAGCACCAACAGAAGAAGGTAAATAGATCTGTAAATATTCATGACCTTGTATTTTCTCTTCGTTGCAAAAATATATTGACATTGTGTAGCTTTACAGTATATACAATGATGAAGCATCAGATTGGTTCATGTGCCCATAAACCACAGGTTAGGTACTCCATATTCTCATCACATTCACAGTACAGCTCTTCTTATAGAGGCATAGTGTGTTTCTTTTTTCCTTTTCAGTTTATTGTGGTTAGAAGATGCCGGAGGTATATGATGTGAATTGGATGTTATTTTAAATAAAGTGCCATTCATTTGTAGAGCCACTTTATGCAAATTGCCTGCAGACGTGCTAAGTACTTGGAGCAATTAAAATAATTAGAAAAATCGCAGACCCTGTTGTAGTTTAATCACTAGACATTGGTCAGCGGAGGGTTCTCAATATTTTCAAGAAGCACGTGATTATGAATTGATTGTGCGAAAAATGTCTGTTGATGCCACATAAGAGAGAATTCAACAGCTGCATCTGCTGTGTTTTATACAGCTGTCCTCTCAAGTGTGACAACTGTATAAAGTGTGCTAAATTTTCTCTAGTGAAATGATTATATGCAATACTTAATAATCTTCAAGAGAGACATTTAATGCAGATTCTTTCCTTCATAATTATGCGCAAACTGGGACAATCCATTACATCTTTTTAAGAACATAAATCTTTGAATTATAGCTATAAACAGGAAAAAGGAAAAAAGGAGTATTTTTGGTACACACTTTGAGGTATTAATGTAATATTTACCTTAAAGGAGAACAATGGGGTAAGTGTTTTTCCCCATAGTTCTCTTAAGGGTCACGGGAGAACAAGTAATAACCTCCTCTCGTGACCCAAAGCTCAGTATATCGTGAGCTCCAGCTCGCAGTATCCTGAGACCGCTACAGCCGGGACTGATGAACAATGCCTTCAGGCTGCAGTGTTTATCCACAGTGCCATGGAAATGATAGTACAACTGTCAGATACACTTGCGCTGTTAAAAATTTAAATAAATTAGTTTAAAAAAGAATCAATAAGCAAAAATTATTTTTTGCCCATAATAACACCAGAGATAGGTTTTTAAATTAAATCAGTGCAGCAAACAGACATCTTTTATATCTTAAATTGTATGTATACAAATAAGTTAAATATAATTAAAAAATAATTATAAATCATATTTAATTATACAAATAATTAAAAATAATTGTTGCTAGATTTGGCCTGGGCATCTAGGCATTATTGATTTCTGGTCTTGAAAGGTTAAAAGGATCATTTAAATAACAAGATGCTCCTAATCTAAAATTAAGTGGCTATGGGAAGAGTTCAATACTGAGTGCTAACACAGCAGTACATGGTGCAGTTCCTCTGCTGGGAGCTACACCAACATGCCTACCTCAGTCAGTCTCTCCCTCCATGGAACAGATAGCTCTGTTCTCTGGGGGAAAGGAAGCTACATATTTTTCTGGTGCCACTTTTAAAGATGTTAAAGCCCCTGCCACCTCCTAAGCCTCAGTGTTTGTCCATTACTGTGAGGGACAGCCTTCATGGCTAATATTGAGGCTCAGGAGGTGGGGGTGGATGGATCCAGGCGCTGAGCCCCATCTGACCCTGGATGTATTTGTAAATCAGAACAATTAGGAACTTTGGGTACTTGGGGTACTTAAACTGACAAAGAACCTGAAGCGCAGGCACCTGAATGTGCCTTCTTTATGCTGGATTAGGTAAGTAATTTGCACTTCAGGTGTGCTATTAGTCAAAATGTTTTTAGTAACATTCTAATTTAAACGTATGAAACAATATATTTTATATGTGTATACAAGTTAGCTTTTTTGTATTTAAACGTGTACCTATTTTAGAGCCCCATCTGAAAAGATTTTGCTAGCTTTCGGAAGGTACTATTCTATATTTTAGGTCAGGCATATTCTGCAGTCTGCAGGCCAAGTACATTTATTGGCACATTTTATGAGCATATTAAACTAGGCATGCATTATAATACAATAATATATATATATATA